AGAAAAATCTCAAATTTTGGTACAATCTCGTCCTCTAGCCTCTCTCTCTTTAAAAGGCATTTCCTTTCCAAAAAAAAAAAAAAATCCGAAAATAATAAAAGAAAGGAAATAAAAGCCTTAGAGAGTCTAGAGAGGTCGAATTTTAAGTCCCAAGGCAACTGGAGTTTAATTTTATGGAGTTTTGGAGATTGTTTTCTGATTCCCGGAAAGAATCTAAGTCTGGGGGAACAGTTGTTTACAACAAAAGAGGAAGGATTATGCAACAACATTTGGCAAGAAGAAGTGACTGAAAAACTGTGGTCATCAACAGGTCCTTATCTCTCTTGCAGTTTTGCATATTATCTTGCATCCTCCAGATCTTCAGGTAACCCGAAACACTTTAACTCCACCACTTAAATAGCCCTTTAATGCCAAACGCCGTCTACCCTGGATGATGTCTTTAATGAGAACTCACTATTGAACTTAATGAATGTAGAGAGCTAGTTGACTAGAATCAAGATTTAATTTGTTTAAGTTTTGCATGACGGAAAAAGTGGACTAGTATCTCTTGTGCTTTGGTGAGAATTTTCTAGACTAAGTTGTGGATTGATGCACTATCTTTGGACCTAGTTTAGGAGTTCATGTCTATGAGATTTGTGCATTCCCTATTTTTGTTTTCACTTAACCAGTTTAAGCTTTTGCTTTGTTTGAGGACAAACAAAGGTTTAACTCTGGAGGAGTTGATAACACCGTATTTTGACAACTTTTATGGATCGTTTTGAAATACTTTTTCTATGTTTTTAGTTGCTTTTAAGTACTTTTATTACGTTTTTCTAGTATTTGTAGTTCCAAGACTCTTTTCAGCTAACTTAGGGAAAAGCTTAACAAAATGGATAGAAAACCAGATTTCAGCTCAGAGTTAAACTCTCAGAAGTTCACCTCTGATTGAAGGCCTTCTCACCGTCCGATCCAGCTCAAATTTGGAGACCTTAAAGATGGAAGTATCATCTTTCCAGTGCACTTTACAGCTTGGCAATCCAACGGTTCAATCAAAAGATACGCAAAGAGCAAGATGTCCCGTAAACCAGCTGGCCAGCACTTCCACCCGCGGCCAACAAGCATTTTCCCGCGGTCAGGAGCACCCGACCGTGGCAAACCATACATTCCCCACGGTCAGAGCACTCCCGACTGCGGCCTTCAACCTCCGAGCCCATAAGCCCATTTCTGAAGCCCACAATGATTTCTTCATTTGGAGAAACCCTAAGTGACGTCCAGAGAGGTCTTGAGCACTATAAATACATGTCTTAGGAACCCTAATCGATAATCTTCTATCTTCTATCTTTCTTATTGTTTTAGAATACTTGTTTTGCTTTAGATTTTAGGGAGAGAGAGATTTGTTCTCTTGAACCCTTGTTCTTTCTTTTTCAATTTCGATTTCTATTCTACATCTTAATACTATGCTTTTGATTTCGTTCATTATGTCTGAGTAGTTTTATTGTTGGGATTAAGGGATTTTCGATGGGGATTTATATGTTCGATGAGGATTCCATGAGCTTTTGAGCCGAATCTTAGAACTTTTTCTTCTGAATTCGTTTTTACTGCATGAGAGTAGCGTCATGAACTACAATCTGATCCAGATGCTTGGTGACACGAAAGTGTTCATCATGTATCAGATCTAGTTTGGGAGAGCAAAACAAACATAGGAGTGGAAACCTACCTATGGGCGATTTGTGAGTTAGGACGAGTCTTAAACATAATGCATCTCTTCTCTTCCAGGGCCAGAGTGGAAACCTACTGGTCAGGGTTGAGAGAGATAGTTGTCTATGATCACGACAGTGGCGTATTCATACGTCCGTGACTCCAGTTCGAAAAGTTTAAGCTAAGATCTTACAAAATTTCCTCTCTAGCAATGTTTTGAATCGTTCGTACCCCTGAGAAAACTTCCCTGAACCCCAACGCTTTCTTTTCCATTGATTTCCTGCGATTTTCTTTTAAAGTTTTAGTTCAATATTGTCTTTCCTTTTTAGTTCATTTTCATTTAAGCATTAGAATATCCGTTTTTATTATTTTTAATCATTTTCGTTAAGTTTAGTTATTACGTCATTTAATTTTCGTATTCTCTTTTAATATTTCGTTTTTTACATTTTAAAGACACCACCAAACCCCCACTAAACCGTTTTTGTTCTACACTTCCTTACTTTAACTTATTTCAAAGGCTTTTTACAGCAAAAGATCCTCTTTCCCTGTGGATTCGATCCCTAAGTACTACAATTGATCAGTTGTGCACTTGCGGCTATTGATTTCAATTAGGATAAAACTTGACAACCCTCGACACACCCACACACACCACCACATCAGAAGACATGATCGTGAAAACAGTATAGAATATAAGAAAGTAAATAAAAAACATAGTAGTATCCAAATAATATAGTTTAAATAGTTTTGAGATTTTTTTTATCATTTTCTATGTATTTTAGACGTAATTTTTTGAAGGTTCGTATGAACTTATTCGATTTTGATCACTGTTTTATATGTTTTAAACATCACAAATACCGTCATTCCACTAGTATATATATATATATATATTTTTTTTTTAACTTTTTTGTTAGAGTTTTTTCAAAAATTTCATTTTTTTTTTGTTTTGAAACGACATTCCATTACTTTTTAAATAGTTTCTATTTTTTGTTTATTTTAACATTTTAGTTAGATTTTTCTAATTTTCGAAAACATAGAAATGATAAACACTAAACGGTATATTTTAAAAGTTATATAAAAAGTATAGATTCTATTTTTTTTTTATAAAAAAACGTTTTTGTTAATTTTTTTTTTAAAAATCGGTTATATATAATTTTAAACGCTTTGATTAACTATGAAATTAAACATTAAACCATATTTAGATCGGTTTGTTTTAAGTTTTTTTTTACACATTATCAGATAAGAACCAATAAAAAAAAATAACACGTAATTGCAAAATAAGGCTAAACGGTATGTTTATAGCCGAAATTCATTTTGGAGCTGACACGTAAGCGAAAAGCTGTGAAACTCGCTGTAAAACATTTTTTTAATTTTTTTTCTTAATTTTGGTTTTAAATAATTTCAAAAACGACATTATATAACTTTTAAAATAGATTCTATTTTTGTTTCTTTTAACATTTTTGTTAGATGTTTTGTAAATTTTGAAAACATAAGAAATGGTAAACACTATGAAATTTAAATTGTTTTTTAGAAAAACATTTTTTTCTAAATTTTGGTTTTATATAATTTAAAAGACGGTTTGGTTGACTGCGGAATTAAACATTAAACCATATTAATTTAAACCAGTTTGTTTTAAGTTTTTTTTTACATATTATCAGTTAGGAACCAATTAAAAAATGACACGTAATTGCTAAATAGAGCTAAACGATTTTTTTACAGCTGAAACTCATTCTGGAGCTGACACGTAAGCGAAAAGTTTTGAAACTCGCTATAAGCGCAACACGTAAGGAAATCACTACACAAATAAGTATATAGATTTTACATGATTATTTAAAATTATAAACATTACAAAATATAATACGAGCACAAGAATAACACTAATAAACTTATGAATTAATGAATGATAGTATGAGAAAATCTTAAAATTGACTTAATCATGATGGTAAATGATCGAAATATTGAAATGATAACCGGCAGAAAATCTTCATATCCATATCATCTTTCTTCAGCTACCGAGAACTGTTAGAGCCGCTCAAAAGTCAAGACCACCTCAAGAAGGCTTATGGTTGGTTTTTGGTCTAGTTTTTTTTTAATATGTTCTTGCATATTATGAATTTTAATAAAGTAATAATAAATTAAAAACAAAATCTACAACTTAAATTATCAACTAGATTTTTATCAATAGTTAAGGCATAGTTTCTTACGGCGAAAAAATTCAATGTCAAGATTTACAACATATCTGTGTATGGATTGGTGGGATTGAATTTACAATATGTTGAATCTTGACGCGCTCGACATTTAGGGGATTAGATTTATAAAAATTTTAGTTGATTTTAAAAATCATGAGATTTATCAATTTTTTAAGATTTTTGTTGGATTTGTAAAGCTTAGAAAGAGTTTTGTGTATTTAAACAATCTACAAAATATTTTTAATATGACAGATTTTAAAAATCCAAAGGATATAGATAGTATTTTGAGAATCATGATTTATGAATTAAATTATAAAGAATCATTATGTCAATAACAATAGATTATAACAGAATCATAGAATCATTAAAATGCAAACTTTTTGAATAACAATAGATTTTGATTAGATTATAAAATTCATCATATCAATAACAACTGATTCTTATATCCTGTAAATGAATAACATTAGAATCTATTAAAAATATAAAAAAATCCACAAACCAATAACTATAGAATTTTAAACTCTAAAAATCTTTATAAATCAACTCCCCAATAACATCTTTTTAAATGTTTTTTGAAATTTTTTCTTTAGGTCGAACCCATCTTTTTTTCTGGGCCTAGATGATCTCTCCGAAATATAAATGGGCTGAAACCCAATACCAACAATAACCGAGTGGCAGACTGTCTCGCAAAATATGGCTCATCGCAAACCCATTCACAACCTCTGTTTATAGCTTTTGTTGAAGTATATCAATATTTTTCAACTATTAATGATAACGAAAGAGAGAGAAATTTCCAGAATCATTTAAAACGCAATACATATCACCTTGATTATATGGATAATGGATGCACAATAACAATACTCAAATTGCCAAATTGATAAACTAAAATAAGTAGACTGATATTTTTTTGTTTTTTTGTCGCCAAATACGTAGACTGATAATTTTCATATACAGACGATAGACTACTTGTGTAAAAAATAACTCAGAAAACATTTAGAAAAAAATTATATTTTGATCATTTGGAAAATTGCCATCAGGAGATCCAAACCTTCCGCTGACACAAAATAAAATTAAAAATTGCTTCAAATTATTCCATAATACTCTAAAAAACTAAAATGATTTATTAATTTTTTTATTGATCAATAATCAAAAAACCATACAGGAGACAGCTTTGCAAGTTCATCTCTCCTAAAATAGTCCACGTTCTTCCTCTTTCAGATTTCACCAGCTAAGCTCCTTAGATCTCTCCCCTTTTGATTACCCATGGCTCTCTAAATCTCACTCTCTATCTTCTTCCTCAATCCATTTTTTCGTTTCTCTCTCTCTTTACGATCTGCTTCAATGGAGGGAGGAGCCGATGGAACCGTTCGCGTCGGTGGTGTAAACGCCAAGCCTGGTCGCGGATTCGAATTGGAGACGGATGTGGCGGTTTCTTCTCCGGTGACTCGTCAGAAAGCCGCCGCTGCTAAACAGTTTATCGAGAATCATTACAAGAATTACTTGCAAGGTCTGCACGAACGAATGGAGAGGTTCGGAGAAAATTTGATGATGAATAATCTGATTTTCTGGTTGATCACAACGATTTTGGATAGATGTGTGTGATTTGATTGACTTGTGGTTGACTTGAAGAATTTTCTAAAATTTTGATTCAGATTTAGCTTTTTTTTGGGGAAGACGAGATTGATGTGTTATTGAATTTTTCTGTGTTGATATACAGACGCAGAGAGTTTCAGAGGAAAGTGCAAGAAGCTCAGTTACCTGTTGAAGAACAAGACGAAATGATGAGGAACCTTGCTCGTCGTGAAACTGAGTACATGAGGCTTCAGAGACGTAAAATTGGGATTGACGACTTTGAACTATTGACCGTCATCGGAAAAGGTGCCTTTGGTGAGGTACATAAAGATCTTAGATCAATGTTGGTTTCCTCTAGAAATTGACTTTGATTTGACATGTTATCAAGGCATTAAACTCTCCAGGATAATGTTAATAATCTCTGAAACTGTTTTTGGCAACTATATCTATCTCAGGTTAGATTATGCCGTTTGAGATCTACAGGAGAGGTTTACGCTATGAAGAAACTGAAAAAAACTGAGATGCTTAGCCGTGGACAGGTACATACTTTGCTTTTTCTTTGTTCACCATAGTCAAGTGAAAAGGGGAATCGTAAGATGTTTGAGAGTAGTAGTACTAGTAGCTGTAAGTGCACAATTGAGCTTGAGAAAAACTTGTTTCCTACCATTAGACTGCTTCAGTTCAGTTTTGAAAGTTTGATTTTTTTTCTCTCTAGGTTGAGCATGTAAGGTCTGAGAGGAACTTACTTGCAGAAGTTGACAGCCGTTACATTGTAAAGCTTTTCTACTCTTTTCAAGATTCTGAATGTTTGTATCTTATCATGGAGTATTTACCTGGGGGTGACATCATGACTTTACTCATGAGAGAAGACATTCTCTCTGAAGATGTTGCCCGCTTTTATATTGCGGAGAGCATTCTTGCTATCCATTCAATTCATCAACACAACTACGTTCACAGGTATATAACCTTTGAAATCATTTTCTTATTATGCCTAGTCATTCAGGGTGTTGGAGAAGATCTCTGCGAATATGTATTCTTTGGTTCTGGATTTGAGTTTGTTTCTTGTTCCCTGTAGGGATATCAAGCCTGATAATTTGATTCTTGACAAAAGTGGGCACTTGAAGCTTTCAGATTTTGGTTTATGTAAGCCACTGGATGATAAGTATTCTTCACTGCTATTAGAAGACAACGAAACGCTGTCTCAAGATTCAGAGAGCCAGCCAGGTAAACCAGACTCTGACGCACCCTGGCAAATGCCTAAAGAGCAGTTGCTGCAGTGGAAACGCAATCGCCGCGCGTTGGTATTTATGCTTGCTCTCTACTTAGATAACTCATTTTGCTGGAACTATAAACATCAATTACTACATTTAATATGTCTTGGGTAATCAAATATGATTATGTGTTTTGTCTTTCATTTTTATAGGCTTATTCAACTGTTGGAACTCTTGATTACATGGCTCCAGAAGTACTCTTAAAGAAAGGATATGGAATGGAATGTGACTGGTGGTCTCTCGGCGCAATTTTGTATGAGATGTTAGTTGGGTATCCCCCATTCTGTTCTGATGACCCCCGTATAACATGCCGCAAGGTAGGTGTATATAGCTTGTTAGTCATGCATTGTTGTTATCTACAATAGAAACATTCATGCTTGCTTAAAAGACTTGCACTTCTTTTCTCAGATTATTAATTGGAGGGTATGCTTGAAATTCCCTGAAGAACCAAAAATATCAGACGAAGCAAGGGACTTGATTTGTCGCTTGCTATGTGATGTTGATTCAAGGTTGGGAACCAGAGGTGTTGAGGAGATAAGGGTGAGACTTCTGAAAAGGATATTTATAGATACATTCCATTGTCCTCGGTTTCAGCCTTGTTATCAATTAAAATCGGTTTTGTTCATGTTTTCAGTCGCATCCGTGGTTCATCGGAACCCAATGGGACAAACTGTATGACATGGAGGCAGCTTTTAGACCCACTGTTGATGGAGAACTAGACACACAGAATTTTGAGAAGTTCCCTGACGTAAGTTGGCATAGAATCTGAAAATGCTTGTCATGACATGTTTCCCAAAAACTTGTTTGAAAACTGCTAAAATACAAACTTAAAGAGACGTCTGATATCTTGTAGGTTGAAGGATCACCATCCGAAGCACCACAAGTTGGTCCTTGGAGAAAGGTGACTCACTCCACTTGATTCCTAAAACTTAAATATCTGTTGCAAAACGATAAAGCTAGCAGATTTGTTTTGTTATGGTTAAAAAGTATCAACATGACAAAGGAAAAAACAAAAACTGTTTAAACGAGTTTGGATAGTAACTTTTGGATTGGTTGAGCAGATGTTGACGTCCAAGGACACCAACTTCATAGGATTTACATTTAAGAAGTCAGATATTACAAGATCAATGGAAAACACAGGTGACTCTTCATTCCTCTATTCTCTACTGCTTATATGTTTGCTTATAACTTGCTCTTAAGCTAATTTAAGAGAAGGTCGAATGGTTGATATAGATCTAAGTTTTAGCCGTGACATTGAAACGTAGGTGCGGACATGAAACCAAATGGTTCAGGGGAAGCCCCGTCGTTGATATCATTATTAGGTATGTAACAAAAGTTGTAAACCGTCACGGTCCCATTCATTTTTTTTTGTGAAACGCAAAACGAGTTTATTAGTTTTTGTGATATGTGAATATTTTTTCAGGTCGGATCAATATGGAAGAAGCTGAAGGTGGTGAGATAAACCAAAAGACATAGAGAAATACAAAAAGAATTGTTGATTTTTTCTTCCGTTTGCAGTTGTTTTGATCATTTGGCAGAGGGCAATGGAAGGCGATGGTAGTTTTTTTAACCACATGACTTATATGATGGTTTATAAAGACTTCTATTTGCTTTTCTTTTCATTTCCTGTATTTTTCTTTTTCTGTAACATATTTGTTTTTTTTTTTCTTTAATCTATAAGGGAAACTGTAAAGCATGGAAGAATAATTTTCGTAACATTTTTACACATAATTTTTATCAAATTGAAAGCATAGAAGTGAAAACTCGTTTCTCTGCCATACTTATCATCCATGTCTTGAAGATGAGCACTCGAAGGTAACGTAACCAGTAGAAGAAAAGGAAAATGAGGAAATAAATATTTTGATAAATGCCCCGATTTCACCTACTAGTTTTGCTTTGACCTAAGTAAATTATAAATCTAACCCCATTCTTTTAAATCAATGCTCCTGAGTCCTATTCCTAAAGTGTGAGAAAGCGCCGTGAAGCCGCAAATTGTCAAATTGAATGCATTTTTAAGGGGTTTGTTAAATTGATTTTTACTATTATGATTTTAGAAGTCTCATAATGTAAATATTTTTTTTTTTGGCAAACAATGTGAATATTTTAAATTTAGAAATAATTTTGGGTATTTTCTTAACTTAGAAAACCATAATAATTAGTTCAAAGCGTGAAAATAATATTAAGAATGTGATTAGTTGACCACACGAAGAAAACGCAAGTAGTAGTAATAAAATCATTAAGAAGAAAAAACGAGCCTTTAGTGGAAATTTTGACATTCATGGAAATATGAATTTGCCTAAATATTTGTAACGTATCAGAAAGTTTCCTCTGGCTTTACTTTACTTACTCGAGGAGAGAGAAATCTCTTCTCGTCAAAGTTCTAGATCTTTCTCTTGAGTTTTTCTCCGCCGATTTCGTCTCTTTAAGCCATGGTAAAAATTCTGCTTTCGTCTTCTTCTTTCACAGAGACTTCACTGTTTCTCTTGCACCGTTTTGGTTCCTATGGATTCTCTGCGAGTTTGGGTAGTATGACTTTTGGTTGCTGAGGAAAATCATCAGAAACAAAAAAAAAAGAAATGCATGCAAGAATTTACAAAAATTCAGATTTTGTAATTGTTGTTTTGTCTGCGATGAATTCGGAGTTTCTAAAAATTTTCTTTTTTCTGTATCACTCGCTCCATAATAGGATCATCTTAGATCTCTGTGAAATTTTTGTTCATGATAGCCGAAAAAGTCAGGAGTTTTCGCTTGAATTTGAAGCCATTGGAGCTAGTTTGAGTTGGTGATGTTGCTTGACTAAATTAACGCACTTCGAAATATTGGTTTACCTTATGGTTTTTATGGTTTTTATAATTGTTCAACATATGTGATGGTGCTACATTGATTCTGTTTCTGTGGCATGTTGAATTTTAAGATAAGTTTTGGAATCGAAGTAAGATGGAGAAGATGTTGTTTAGGGGTTTTGGGTTGATCTTTCTGAGCTTTGTATGTTCCATGTTTCATGATTATGAGGAAGTGATAAGTTATGCTTGAGTCTTGGATATTCTCACTCACTAGATGTTACACAAATTTCTTGTTTTGTGTGTTTCTTTTTGCGATAACAAATGTTTGCAATGTGATGTGAATGATAGCTTACTGTACTAATGCAGCAATGGATTGATTGTTATTGTGATACAGTTTCATGTTTCTAACTATTTTCAGCTCTCAAATGTTCTATCAGAAGCCTATTGTTCAGTTTCCATGTCCTAAGGACCATCCTTTTGATTGGTGGTTTGCAATCTCTCATAATTTTCATGCTTTCTTGTGTGGTTTTTTTTTTAATACAAAGGAATTGCCCCCAAAAGTGAAAAACATCTTGCTTCTGGATGCTGAAGGAAAGCGTATAGCGGTTAAGTATTACTCAGATGACTGGCCAACAAATACAGCAAAGGAAGCTTTCGAAAAAGCTGTCTTCACAAAGACTCAAAAAACGAATGCCAGGACTGAAGGTAGGAGTTTCCTCGTGAATCCTGTTTTAAATACTCAGTGCCTTGTTCACTATCTTTCATCAAATCTTTTCAAGCCTTGATTATGTCTGCATGGACTTGTAGTTGCGGTTTTGTCTCTTATCAACAAATTGCTAGTTCTTGATATGTAGTGGAAGTGACAGCACTGGAGAACAACATTATAGTGTACAAATTTGCGCAAGACCTTCATTTCTTTGTTACGGGAGGTGAAGAGGAAAACGAGCTTGTCTTAGCCAGTGTGCTTCAGGGACTCTTTGATGCAGTGAACCTCCTCCTTAGGTTTTGTCCAGTCATATCTTCGGATTATTGTTTCTACATTCCCAAATAAGCTCACAATATTTCGACCTTTCTTTTCTTTCAAACTCAAATTACAGAGGAAATGTTGATAAGAGGGAGGCATTGGACAACCTTGACCTCATCTTTTTATGCTTCGACGAAATTATAGATGGAGGGTAAGAAACATTTTCTCTTCCTTTTCACATTTCTTGAACCATTAGATACAATGAAGTGTTTCATAGGTTATGTATTCTAATACTAATCTTATATATCTCAGTATTGTTCTGGAGACGGATGCGAATGTGATTGCAGGAAAAGCAGGGATCAATAGCGTTGACCCTAATGCTCCTCTATCCGAGCAGGTACCAAACTCATTTTTTTACATCTTCTTGATACAAACCTTTAAAGGACAATATATTAACCTTCTCAAACTAAAGATTTTGATACATTTCTCTGCGGTTTTGTTTGCTTCACAGACGATAAGTCAGGCACTAGCGACTGCAAGAGAGCATTTCACAAAGTCACTTCTGAAATGATGTGTGTGTGTTGCTGTTTGGTTGGTTGCTTGTTGTTGTTGTTGTTGTCATTGTCTCGATATGAAGCGAAACTGTGAATGTGTGTTTCGTCCATTTGTTAGGCCATCTCCATTGCTGATCCCAAAAAGGTATCATAGCAATTGTTTAATTTTTTTTTTTCTCGGAACAGTGAAGAACCTGAATCCAAAAGTGAGCTCTATCCCTGAACCAATGAAATTGGGTTCATACGAATAAAATAATATTTTTTTTTTGATTTTAAAATTTTTTTTCGATTTAATTATGAAAATATTTTTAACACAAATTTACATTGTAAAACAAGTAATATTACATAGGTTTAGAATTTAAATTACAAATTATTCAAATTATGTTGTAAAAACATATAAAATGCAAATACAGAAAGTAGACGTATAATTAAAAGGCGTTTCTATTCCAAATTTAAGCCATATGTGTTCAACCAAATCAGCTTTCAATCGGTCATGAATTTTGTTGTCACGAACTTCGTTTCGAATACCGATCATATTGGTAATATTTGTGGACATATAAGTTGAATATGTTATATCGACTTCTGACGTTCTGCTTCCTTCTCCCTGTTGAAATTCTGATAGATTGTATTGAGTGTCGAATGGTCGTTCGTTTTCAACTATCATATTGTGTAATATGATATATGCCCACATGATCTTTCCTATTTTTTCCTTATCCCAAATAAGAGCTGGATTTTTAACAATGGCAAACCTGGCTTGTAAGACTCCGAAAGCCCGTTCGACATCTTTTTGTACACCTTCTTGGCATCGCGCAAATGTCTTGTCCTTTTCAGATTGTGGAAGTAGAATTGATTTGATAAAAGTTGCCCAATTTGGATAAATTCCGTCGGTTAGGTAATATGCCAGCTTGTACCTGTGTCCGTTGACATAGTATCTGACTTTAGGATCTCGGCCTTGTAATATGTCATCAAAAACAGGCGAACGGTCAAGAACATTGATATCATTTAAAGTACCTGAAGGTTCAAAAAAGCATGTCAAAACCACAGATCGTGTGATGCTACATCTTCTAACACAATTGTTGGTTTTCCTGAGCCCCGTGTATATTGCCCTTTCCAAGCTGTTGGACAATTTTTCCATTCCCAGTGCATGCAATTAATACTTCCGACCATCCCGGGAAAGCCCCTAACCTCCCCAACATCTAGCAGGTTCTTCAGATTTTCTGGTGTGGGTCTTCTAAGGTATTCATCCCCGAACAGACATATTATTCCTTCAGTGAATTTTTCCAAGCATTTGATTGCCGTACTTTCACCAAGACGAAGGTATTCATCAACTGCGTCAGCCGCACTTCCATAAAATATGGATTGCTGCCGTACATTTTTGTAATCCAGATAGGCTAAGCCTTCCTACAACATCTCTCCTTTGCTGAAAATATGGCACTTCATTTGATAGTCGTTCCACAATGTGCATGAACAATGGCTTGTTCATTCTAAACCGACGACGAAATATGTGGGAAAGATATGTAGTGTTTTCAGCGAAGTAGTCGTTCCATAATTGGGTGTGCCCTTGTTCTCGTTGTCTTTCAATATATGCCCTCTTCTTCTTCTTTGGTTTAGAACCGGCTTGTCGCTCAAGTAAAGCGTTGAAGGTGCTGTCAAATTTTTGATCAAACATGTCATCAAACTTTTCATCAAAACTCTCATCAAGACCATCATTGACGACACCATCATAAGGATTATATAGACCATCATTGCCACCATCATAAGGATTATACTGAGGATTATTAGAAGAAGAAGCCATAAAACTATATAAGAGAGAGTTTGGGTTTAGAAAAAAGCGAATGAGGGAAGTTTGGGTTATTGCAGAGGTTTGTTGGTTTACAAACAAAACGAATGAGGGGTTTTATAACAAGTTTGGGCAGAGTTTTTTATAACAAATGTCGAGTGTGATAATGTTACGACCAAATGCAGTTTCTCTATATAGATGTACAAGTAGATACAAAACATTTACAGAAAGTTGTGGATACAATAGATCACTAAAAATACATGGCTGTCGAGCCCTTGTACTATATGGTTTACAATATTTTGTGGACACAAAACATCTCTCCAAAATATATGGCTTAGTGATCACTAGCACCAACTCATAGAGGACCCATCTTCGAGCAACTTGCGCCTGACTTGTCACCACAACCTGTACGCCAATAGAAAACAAAATAGACATAAGACCCATTTTTCTTAGTAACATATATAAGAGACAACCAACAAGACATAAACATAACCGATTCACATTAACAACACCAAACAGCCATTAAGAGATGAAGATAACCGATTAATCTTAATGACCTAAAACAGCCATTAAGACATAGAACATACTAGTTCAGTGTACAGAAAACATAAACATGGAAACCAAGACGTACAGAAATATAAAACATAAAACACTAAGACTAAGACAAGAATTCTTTAATGAGTGATTCCCTTAGAGTTTTTTCACCCTCTGATAGTCTATATCCTCTTGCGAGTAAGTGCTCAAGCATTCTCTGCCTAGAGAGCATCTTTTTGTGTGCTATATCCTGTTGTTTTATTTCCCACATGTTCAACTCCCCGAACAGCCTTTTTACTCTTGGCTTTCTTGGCAGACTTCACACCAGGAGGCCGTACCTCTGCTGTCTCTTCTCCGTGACAACCAGGTTGAGCGGAATCTGGCTTAGATGAGTTATCATCTTCTTTTTCCGTTTTTTTTTATCAGCATCGTTTACAGCCGAGGATGAGCTCCACTTTTGGTCATGCCTCAGTTCCCTCCAGGCATGCTCAAGGCCATACTTAAACCCGTGATCATTGAGGAAGATTTGATGAGCATTCTTCATCACGTCGTTTTCGTTTTGGCCACTGCTTTGCTCTTTCAATGCTGCTTCATAGCTCCCTACAAACTTACATGTTTGATCATTGATACGGCCCCAACGCTGCTTACAGTGACTTTGAGTTCTGTTTTGATAGTCAGCTAAGAGTGGGCTCGAGTTGAATAAGTTTGTTATGCGGCTCCATGATCTTTGCTGGTGTTTAACCAAGAGAAGATCAGAACAACGTCTTCAGTTGGATGCCAGTTCCTCCTTGATGTCCGATCCTCACTCTGCTGGGTGCTAAACATTGGAACTTGTGAGGATGCAAGATCTACAGTCGGCGCGAATGACAAAGATATTTCTTCTTGGCTGTTTAGGAGGTTTAAAAAACTGTGGGAGTTACCATATGGGTTCGGTGAATCCATAGGAGGGTAAGAGAAGAAAGCTTGTTAGAAAGTACAACGTATGAACGGGCAAGAGAAGGGTTTTAAAAGTATGAACGGCTAAGACAAGGGTGTGGGACAGAAAAGGGGTATGAACGGCTAAGATAAGGTTTGAAAGTGTAAGAGACAAGGTTTTAGGCAATGTCTATATTATATAAGGATTACTCATTCTTGATTTTTAGGTTAGAGTTTTTGTTTTCGTGTGTTAAGTGTTATTTTAGTTTTGTTACTTTTGCAATGAATGAAGACGGACGCATTAACTCGTGAATTAAACAGATGTGAGCTTTGACAAGATTGGCTTTAACTTTCGACCTAACAACTATTTACCCTAACCTAAACCAGCAATATTGACAAGAAAGACCATTACTAACCACCTAACTAGTTTAAAAGCAATAACTACAAACTGACCTTGTTTAAACGCATGACCGCATTCTCGTTAGACTCCAACTATTAGGTTCCTTAGCCCATTTACTTCCATCAAAGACACCTCGCACAACAAACCAAGTCATCAGTAACCGAATACCACCTGAACAAAATATTAAACGAAGAAAAGACAAGTGTAATTACCTTTGTGTGCTTGGCTGCCTCGTACGCCATACCTGTCAGGGTCATACACCGAAATACGAAAGCAAAACGGAAGATATATACAAAGCAATAACAAAACAAAGGAAATAGATAGATGACATAAGTTTAGTGTCTTAACCAAGTCAACAAGGGCTTAAACAAGTAGCCAACAACATACAAAACATAGCCAACAACAGCCAACAGCAGTCAACAGCCGCTTAAACATGTAGCCAGTCAAAGCAGTTAAGACAACATGAATGAGATTGCCGCTATGACACAAAAAAACAAAGTAGCAGATAGTTATCACCTTGGTTAGCCATCTCCTGCTTCAGGGTTGACAGTTCACCTTGCAGCACCCTTAGTTCCTCACGTATTTCACCTTGCCTAACCATCTCTTGCTTCAGGGTTGATACTTCACCGTGCATCACCCTTAGCTCCTCACGTGTTTCTGCTTGGTTAGCCATCTCGCTCAAGTAAAGGTTGGAAACTTCTCCCTCAAGCTCCATTAGCTCCTCCCTTAGTCCTCCAATGCTCTGTACCGGAAGTGTTTGCAGCCCAAACATGTCTTCCTTTTGCTCTCGAATCCTCATGCCCAATTTACCGATCTCCTCTTCCACAGCCTCTTCCCACCACTTAAAGATATGCTCCGGTGTCTTCCACTGCACAAATGACTTAAGCTAAAATAAACCTTTTATATAACTTCCAAAAAAATTGACTAGCAAATGTAACCGATTAACTTACGTCATCTATCCAGTCAGGACACACAAAGAATTTGCGTCCATTACTGTCCGTCTCTGCATCTTTGGACACACATTTAACCTTCAGCTGTTTTCCGCAAAAACACTTCTCTAGTATGCCGTAGTTGGCATCACCGTAGGCCCACCGCAGGTCTTCAAGGGGTTCATCATCAAAGGAAGGCTCGCTGTAGCTTATAGGCATGATCTGCAATGAACAACAACGACCAAACTTAACGATGATGCACAAAAAAAAAGGTCTAAACAATGATCCAGAGTCTAAACGCAACCAAAATTCATCAAACGCATACAAGGAATACATGTAGAAAACGCCTCAAATCAAGCGATTCGAAAACCCACAAATTATCCCTTTTACAAAACCCTAATCTGCTTTGTATCAACACGCTAACAACTAGATAATCAATAAACTTCATCAAACGCATCAGTAACTACATGAAAAACCCCTTAAATCAATCGATAAAAAACCCCCAAATTTGGTCATTTACGAAACCCTAATTTGATTTATATCACCATATTCGAGATGTTACAAGCCGTTAACAACTGTTAATGAACACAATTCAATCAACCACAGACTCAGATGCTTTGATAAAACCCCTTAAATCCCAAAACCCAAAGAACTATAAATTTTTCCACAAACCCGAAACCCTAATTCTATCGAAATCATCGAAAACAAACATGAAACACCAAGCGAAGATAGCCTCGCGTACCTTGGTAACCAACCGGAGATGTTGCTCGGGATTCTCGGCTCCGGTTACGGCGATTTGCTTCGAGGAATTACCGGTCGCCGATTTCATCGCCTGCGGTGATGAGAGGAAAACTCGAGTGAAGTTTTGTCCTTGGTCGAAAAATGACCCCAAAATTTTTTATTCCCATTAAACCCACGCACCAATCATAACACGCCACGTACTCGATGATACTCGGATGATATGGGATCATCAGTATCAATACAATCATACCGTATCATTGGAAATGGACCGATTTTAATTAATTTTAACACAAAAAAACGCACGAACCCACTTATAAACCCGCTATAAACCCGCGATGGAGATGCTTTATAAGTAGAAGTTACTTTGGACTTTGGAGATAATTACAGTTAGTCCCACATTCCAAACAATTATGTGTTGGTTCACTCATTTTCAGTTTTTCACGAGTTAGATTCAGTCAAAGATATAAAACATAATTACTTATAGTGTGATTGGTAGGGTTGGAATCTTAATCATGAATAATATTAACTTCAACAAAAAAACTTTGATTTATATCGTTCCTTTTTCGTTTCTGTTTTTGATGTAGAAAATTATAGGTCCCAAATATAGGTTTATCAAATGTTGATCATAAAATAAGAATACAAACACTTTTCTTTTAATTCTTAAGTCTAATCTATTATCTTCATTTTGAGGCCTTTAAACACACAAAGGATCGACCCTACAAATAAGGAGATATGAAAGTGGGAAATGAGAAATGGGAAGTGGAGACTAGGTCCTGATTAGACAGAAATTAAAAGAGTTAATTAACAGTAAATTGTCAATTAATCGATCTCGTCAGAAAAGGTGAATACATTAAGGAATCTTTGTTGACAATTCTGTTGTTTTTAATCCAATAAATTGTTTTTTTTTTTCAGTCCCAAGTAGACATGGTTGTATATATATATTAAAAATGTTTAAAGAAGGAATAATCAACAAAAAAATGTAATTAAAAAAAAAAAGAAGAGAAGGATTACGTGAAATGTCGACATAATTGGCGTGTGCCTACAATATTCGGGGATTTTATACAATTCTCTCTTCGTCTCTAAAAGTCTAAACTCGTTGCCCAACTGCAAACTCCTATCACGATGTCGACATTTTCTTCAACAACTTGGTTTCGTCTGGATTCACCCTTTTGGACTTTCCGATTCTCATATTTAATTCAATCCTACGCAATCTCTCCACTTTTCATGATCCCGACGAAATCTTATACCCCTCAATGTTCCTCATCGATGTTCGTTCTCTCCGATTCTGATTTCAGACTTCGAATGGTTTTTTTCAGTTTGTGATTTTGATTGAATTGCGGGAAACTGATTCTGGGTTTTGATGATTAGGTTCTTTGGAAATTGCTTCCTCTTTACTTCTTCGGATCAGATAGAGATTCTCTCTCAGGTATTTCATCGAACACTTCGTCAACTATTTCCTCTGAAGTAAAGATTCATACTTTCGATTGATTTAATAGGGGATTCTCTAGGTTCTTGTAATTTCTCATCGATCGTAATTCAATTAACCTTGAATTCTCAGTCTTCAATTTGCTCGGATATGCTTGAATTGTTGCAATGGTCCTCTGTTTTGCTCTGATATGCTTGAATTGTTGTAATGTTCCTCTGTTTTGCTCTGATATGCTTGATTTTTTTGGCAATGGTCCTCTGTTCCAGCAACAGAGTCCATTTTGCAGATAGTTCCTGAGACAATGGCTGCTTCGTCTTCATCTAGCATCCTTTGCAACGCAGGAGAATCAGACCTTTGTCGAGACGATTCTGCTGCGTTTCTACTAAAACTAGTAGCCATTGCTTCAATTCTCATGGCCGGAGCTGCAGGTGTAGCTATACCACTCATTGGCAGGAACCGCCGGTTTCTTCAAACCGATGGTAGTCTCTTTGTGGCTGCTAAAGCCTTTGCAGCTGGTGTGATCCTATCCACTGGATTTGTTCACATGCTGGCTGGTGGCACAGAAGCGTTGACCAACCCTTGCTTACCTGATTTCCCTTGGTCTAAGTTTCCTTTTCCGGGGTTCTTTGCCATGGTTGCTGCTTTGATCACTCTACTTGTTGATTTCATGGGGACTCAGTACTATGAGAGGAAGCAAGAGAGGGAAGCTACTGATAAGTCTGATGAACAGCCTGGTTATGAACAGTCACCGAGTATTGTCGTTCCTGTGGTTGCTGAAGGAGCGAACGATGAGAAAGTGTTTGGAGAAGAAGACAATGGCGGGATTCACATTGTTGGTATTCATGCTCATGCTGCTCATCATAGACATAATCATCCTCAAGGTCATAATTCATGTGAGGGACACCGTAAAATCGACATTGGTCATGGACATGGACATGGTCACGGTCACGGACATGGACACGGACACGGGGGTTTGGATGTCGGAAGTGGAGCAAGGCATGTTGTTGTTTCTCAGGTACAAAGAAACCCTTTTTTTCTTGATTCTTGTAGAGGTTCTTGTAAGCGTTTGTGTTTTTGGTAATCTCGTCCTTGTTTGATATTGTTAGGTTTTGGAGCTTGGAATCGTATCACACTCGATCATCATTGGTATATCTCTTGGAGTATCACAATCTCCTTGCACAATCAGACCTTTAATCGCAGCACTATCGTTCCACCAATTCTTTGAAGGATTCGCGCTCGGTGGATGCATCTCCCAAGCACAGTTCAGGAACAAATCAGCGACCATAATGGCTTGTTTCTTCGCCCTCACGACACCGATAGGGATCGGTATTGGAACTGCAGTGGCGTCTTCTTTCAACTCTCACAGTGTTGGAGCATTGGTCACGGAAGGTATCTTGGATTCGCTCTCGGCAGGGATTCTTGTGTACATGGCTCTTGTGGATCTCATAGCTGCTGATTTCTTGAGTAAGAGAATGAGCTGTAACTTTAGGCTTCAAATTGTTTCTTATTTGATGTTGTTCCTCGGAGCTGGACTCATGTCTTCTCTTGCTATTTGGGCTTAGATTGTTAAAGACTCCATAGTTTCTGTTATAGCTAGCTATAGCTTTACGAGACAACATGTGTATAGTTCTAGAATTATCAATTCAACAATTTCTCGCGATTAAGGAATGCATTGTTTTGTATTTATACGACAATTTATTGATGAAAAATCCCATTTTTAATCATATTTTTAGCTTTTCATAAGATACAAAGTGCAAAAGCCTAGTCTTTAAAGATAATGTTTGTGAGCTTTTCTTCAAAAGTGTACCAGAAGTTGTATTACCACCACAAGTTTAAACTGTTATCCATTGATCATACCAAAAGGTGGGTCAAACCAAGAACAATTACAATAGACAACAATAGATTATAGTAAGTAACAACAAACTCAACCCCAAAATGTAAAACTTTTTTAAAAAAGACATGATTTTTATGAAACCATCAAAAAAGCTTTGCGCTTTTCAAACAATGTCTTCTTCTTTGTGGGTCTCAATGGTAACATCAGAAGTAGGATAAGCAGCACAAGTGAGAACAAATCCTTCACCAATCTGGTCGTCATCGAGGAAACTCTGGTCAGACTGGTCAACAGATCCAGTCACAACTTTACCGGCACAGCTCGAGCAAGAACCAGCACGGCAAGAGTAAGGAAGATCGATTCCGGCTTCCTCCGCCGCGTCGAGGACGTAAACGTCGTCGTCGCACTCAACCTCTTGCTCTCCTTCCGGTGTGATAAATTTGACCTTGTATGTAGCCATGGCTGTGACGCGTCCGCCGCGTGAGGTGGCTGATTTGAGACCGAAGAGGGATTGAGTGTTGCCTGATGGGAGGGAACGGAGGCTGATCGGAGCTGTTTGACGGCGGATGAAGGATGTTCCGACGATGGCGCTTGAGAGAGCTGTGGAAGCCATTTTTTCTGTGTTTTAGATTTTTAGATGATTTGAGAGATTTTTGGGTTTCTTCTCTCTGTGTTATGGCTTGTGGAAATGGCGTGGAGAGTGTGAAGGAGAAGAGAGAGGATTAAAAAGGTGGGATTGTTGTGGAATCCTATCTTCCACGTGGCGTTTATCGTGTGGATCGTTAGATTATCGTCTCTCTTTTTTTTTTGGTGATTTTGTGTTTTCTATTTGTGTGTGTATGAGTGATTGTGTTCGACACACTTTGCACTATCTTATTGTGGTGAGTTATTCGTGGTCTCACTTGGTACAGCGCACAGATTTATTTCTACTTCTTGTTTGTATCTAAAATAAATAACTCGTCATATGTTTTCTTTAAATTGTTAGAAAATGTCAACCAAGTGATATTTTTTATTTCTAAGATGAAAATGTATGAATTACAAGATTTGAGATAATGGAAAAAAGACCAAATTAGAAATTAAGTTTCTGAACCAACAATATCTCTGAATCCTAAATTAAATAGAGCAGATTCCACTTTACCAAAAGGGGGGAGATTAAACAAAAAAAAAAAGAAGAAGAAGAATGAAAACAAAAAGAACTCCCCCAAGCAAAAAAAAAAAAAAAGATATCAAGAAGAATATGATATAAGTTGGATTTTGAATCACCCATACAACCTTCTCCTCCACAATGATTCCCCACTTTCCCTTGTTTATAAATCTAAACCCGTAAGAGGCTTTCTCTCTAACAGACTTAACTGCCTCTACGATCCAACTTTACCGCTTTTTTTTTTTGGTTTGGTAATTTTCTCTCTAGTCGCACTTGATGTTTCTGTAGATCCTTCTAACAAACAGATTTGATCCTAAGAACCCAACAGCTCCTGCACAATTTTTCCAATTACCAAAACAATCTTCAGAAAATACCAAATCTTGTAGTGAGGCGAGAGAGTGAAACAAGAAAAGAAAAAAAACTAACCACAAAGGATTCCGAGGCCGAGACAGAACATCAAGGTGTATCCAAAGTAGAAGCTGGTCTGGAAAAACCCAAACATCTTGGTCTTTACGTAGTAGTAATAGATCGAGTATAAGTAGACATAAACAGCGGTCGAAGCAGCAGAGAAGAACGATGTCCATTGCCAGTGATAGTTCTCCGCATTCAACAAGAAATACGTCCCCACGATCGTCACACAAACGGTCACCACAACAAGTATCAAAAATACAAGAAGCATGAACCCGTATACATAGTATACCTGTCAATGAAACCCAACATCATCAAGAAATGTCACGGTACTTTTTTACACACAAGTCTCGGATTTGTAAAGATATTTTTGTTACCTTGTAATTCCAGAACGATGTGAAAACGAAGTACATTTCAATGAAGATGCTGCCAAAGGGTAAGAGACCTCCCATAAGAGAGACTACAGATGGAGTCAAGTACCACTTTTTCTCAGGGATTGGACGTGGGATTGTCTTCACACGGCATGGATTGTTTGGAGCACCACTCCAGTTTCTACCGACGACTGTCCCGAGGAGAGCGAGAGGGAACGAAATGAAACCCCAGATTACGAAAACCACCACCATTGTTCCGAAGGGAATAGCCGCAAGAGATCCGTAGAATATGGCGATTGTGTTTAGGAGGAATCCGATCCCGAAGCACAAGAATGGGAAGAGAGAAGCTGTGAGGATCATGCACTTGATCCAATGTTTACCTGAACAAACAAGCATAAGAGAATGAGTCTAGGGAAGGTATATTTATTGGAGAGCTTGCTGCATTCCAGATAGGAGGATATATAACGTACCCCCACTTCTTGAGTACATTCCACCACTCACATAACCAGAGATAAATGACGTCAGAGCGTAGCAAACAATGAAAGTTGTAACAATTGCGCCTCTCCTGAATAGAGTTAAACCAGGATAAGAGGTTTAAATGGCTAGAATGTTTTTATTCAAACAAAAGACAAACTCTTATTCCATGGGAAATAACAACATGAGAAGTTGACTGAAACTTAGAAGAGTGTAATACATACCCAACATAAAGTGTACCGATGATTGCCATTAATATGACAAGAAGAACAAGTAAAGCCAACTGTGCACCTGTACCAACAACAGCCGAGAGAAGAACCAGACTACGTGGTGGTCGGAACACATCTCCGTGTACGAGTTTCCATCCAGATTCTTCACTTACATCCCGTTCCTGTGCTCAATAATACCAATTGTCAGAAGTTGCTCCAAATTCTTTGCACTTAAAATGAAGGTAAAATTGACAAGTTGACATCATAATAGTAGTAGCAAGAGAACTTCTGAAGCCATTCTAGATATGAGGTTGAGGACACATTACCAGGCTCTCCAGGTCGTCGTCTTCCCGAGCATATTTCGCATAATCGTTTCTGAGAGTCCTCATTAATATCATTGAGACCAAACCAGTAAGGAAGATAACCATCATGAACGAGTTAAAGATGGAGAACCAATGGATCTGCATGATGAACAAATTCCTTAAAAACCCTCCAAGAAAAAAAATATTTTGAGACAAGGTTGTAGCAGTTTAATCAACGAGCAAGTAAAGGAGCATTCAGAGTAATATGTATCAAATTATGAAGCAAATATCAATTAAGGTCTGATAGCAGAAGGATAAAACCATAAGACATGCTATAATTTACCTGGTGCTCGAAGAATGGATAGTCTAGATAAACATCAAAACGACGAGCAAATGTGACATTGGTTGGAATCCAATTCACAGAATACGTCAAGTCCACCGTTCTCCCTGCTTCTAACGGCCTTGGGTTGTCTTGTGTAAGATTTACATGAATAATCTATGCAAAGAAAAAAAAAAGATCACGAGAAAGTTCATTTGAGATCTATAAGACTGCTTAATGGGAAAAAAAAAAAAACAACCAACCTGGTCTTTGTTGTATTTGATAATAATATTCTTATGAGTGTAAAGAACATGCTTGCCGTTTTCACTATTTTTACCAGGTGGCAGTTCGCCCACAAACCCTATAACAACAATGAGATAGTTAAAATTATGTTCAGAACCGAAATTGAAAATTGGATGTTTAAAGTGAATATAAGAAATCACATACCCCACAAAGGCAGATCATCTGAACTTGCATCCACGTACGCCATAAACATCATTTGTGACAAAAAGAAGCAAGACAAAAGATTAGCAAGCAAAGGATGCAAAAAAAATTAGTTACAGTGATGTACGAACAGTGAATGTACTGTGATATTGTTTGTAGTATTAGCTCATTTTCAACAACTGTTACTGCTCAGCAAGGTTAAGTTCCGTTGATAAGGCATAGCGATTTCCAATTTCAAAATATAACAAGCAGCAACATCTTTTACAATCGAGGGAATCAACTTTTCTGTGAGACTTTCTTCATCAGTAATGAGTACAAGTAAATGAAATACATACCCATAAATAATTCAAACCAGTAACTATTCTCGATGGCATCTTTGAAATGCTTGACCTTAGGTTCATCAAGTTCCAATTGACAGATCACGCTTCTGTCAACATTTTCTGGGAGTAAAACAGAAGAAGGCAATATAAATATTATGCAATCAAGATAACATTTTCGAAGAAATACTAACATAAGAATTGACATACTCAAGAATTTTATGTCTATCTGGCTGTCGATGAGCTCATTTCCCCCAAGAACCTCACCAAGACCACCCCATTTGTGAACGCTGTTCTCAGTTTTGCGGCAAAACGGGAGGCTGTAATAGTTATATGTTTCTTGTGGATTATTATAAGGGCCAACTTTGTTCACCCACAGAGTAACCTGCTCATCAGCTTGATACTGGAAAAGTAAAATCAGAAGACCAAATTTCATGACTTGGAAGAATTGAGAACAGATGGAGAAACGTAAGGGAATAAACCAAAACCCAGTGAGGATGACAGAGTCAATTATAAAGCCTAGAGTGACCCTAGACACATCGGCGCTCTTGTGGTGCAATATTTTGTTTGTTTAGACAAATCGACATAAAATGCAGATACAAAAATAGGAAGACATCATCCTCTGGTAGAAAAGTGGAAACCATTACAAATCTTGTCGCTGCAACACTATCAACTCCGCAAAAGTATAGGGCTGTGATTTAAGGAAGGGTACTTTTCTCTAGCTAGATTACAAGATTACTACTGTTAATGCATGATCTGCTTTATCAAAAAATCACACCAAAGGGGAAAAAAAGTCGAAACAGCAGTCAAGGTTGAACTAAATACTTATTTTAAGAGTAAACGTCATAAGAAATCTCAAGGGGGGGAATGGCAGCCTGAAGGCAACGTCTTGCAGCTCCAGATCACTAATTCTAAAATAAAACAAGAAACCAGAACAATTTTCTATCCAAAACTGGCCATAATCAAAGGAATACCTTAGAAACATTTGACGCTTATTGCTCACAGCCCTAAAATCTATCAAAACTAGATAACATACGTAAAACATCATCATTAAAAAAGCTAGACCTAATTGAAGGAGCATATTTCAGTTCCAATGCTCTCTACTAAAAGTCGCAAATTGAACAATGATCACACCACAGATCATCCACTGACAATGATCGTTACAATCATTAAGCAGTAACTGGACTCAGGACGACTCAAATCACCCAAAAAATAGATACCATATCAAAACCTAACTCATAATGTCGCAAAAAAATAAATAAATAAACCTACAACACAGTGGAGAAGCTACTTGCTCGAATTGCAAGGAAAATATAATCAGCTGGATCAAGCCTCCAATCCCGAAAAATTAACAGATCCGAGTCAAAAAAAATGAATACATAACAACATGCAACAGCGAGATCTACGAGCAAAGAACTCGAATCTAGCTACAGCTAAGAAAAGAAAACGGTAGCCACTAGAGATTCTCTAACCTTGTGATCTGACTCAGAGGCCAAAGCCGGAGAGAGAAGAAGGAAGACGCAAGCGACGACGGAGAAAAGAGATTGGACGGTGGAGGAAGACGGCATGTCGGAATCCGGCGAAGAATCAGATCTGAGGGAGACGACAGAGACCGACGGTGATTGAGAAGTGTTAGACCAATGACTCGTCTCAGAGATACGATTCAGGTGGCATAAATGTTATATGATGTTACAAATTTATGAGCTCTTTAATTATTTTCCTCGGATGCGAGCGATCGAAGCGAAAGCGTGACCAGAGATTCTCAGCATTATCGTTTTCGTACAGTTATATGCACTCGCCTTACTATATTTTATTGGGCCTTAGAAACAAAAAAGCCCAGTATCATAATTTTATTAGTCGATTTTAAAAAATTGGGTTAGACAAATTACCTCAGATTTTTTTGTTTTTACCGAAACACCATAATTTTTAGTATTTACTAGGGGAAAATCGCATAAAAAACCTTAAAAACGATACTTACTGACATTTTAAACCTTAAGAATATTTCACTCACACTTTAAACCTTTAAATTAAATTTATTCAAACAAAAAACATTGAAATTGGATATTTAGTATGCACCATCAAAACATTTAACGGATTTGTTCATTTTCCGTTATAAATAATGATGTAGTATTATTTTTTTTTCTACTGATAAAATTAATTTTTAATAATTATCTTATTATTTTGTTAGTTAAAAAAATCACATAATCCATATCATTGTGTGTGCTAGTTTGATAATTTCATCGAATCATTGGCAATATAGACCACACAAGCTAAGAAGACTCATATGAGAATAAAGATTCTGTAAGTGCAAACCTCAGCCAAAAGATGGTTGCTATCTAGGATGATTGGTGCTGGCAATGAGGTTGATTTCAGTAGAAAAACAACTGCTATATGGAAGCAGATAAATAGAATTTGCAGCTCCCACAAAAAAAAAATATAATGAAATTTCTATAAAATAACAAAGCAATAAAATGATGAATACAGAAAATAGAAGAAAATGAAATGATGAATGCAAACAGATAACAATCAACAAGGAGGTGATGAATACAAAATAGCAGACAAGAATAAAATGAAATGATGAATGCAAACAGATAACAATCAACAAGGAAGTGATGAATACAAAATAACAGACAACAAGAGCCATAGTTATCATAGACTCACCTTTCATCAACAAGAGCCATACCCAATTCCTTTGATAATTACTAATTATCCCAAAACTTATAATATTTTATAAATGTATTGTTGATATACGATATCACACAAGAGATCAGAAATTTAGATTTTATTACATCGGATAAAATATAATTGAGTTCGTTTATTGAAGTGATAAACGAACTAAGACCTAAGAAACTAAAAAGATAGCAAATATCTTCAATTCTCAGTTTCTAATTCTTTTGGAATTTTCTTGTATCTTTTGGTGTCGATTCCTCTTACATGCTCTAAGTCGGTCTTCACGGGACATCTCCTCGATAAAGGACCGAGAAGACTTTCTTTTCTCTCGAAAGTTTTCATTTTCCATTCGGAAACATTCTTTTTTCATCCGAACTCGGGATCCTTCTCGATTCCTTTGAGAAGTTGCGACCGACTTTGGCATAACAGGTCATGTTCGGTCCAGGAGCTCGCCTGGCCCAATCTTCCCGGTACAATTTCTTCGTAAACCGGGCTTAATCCATGCTGATCTCGGTTGTACCGGAGAAAACCGGAAGTGCGGTTTTCACCTCCAACAGTTAGCCCTCCCCCCTCCCCCCTCAGTTCGGCGAAAGTGGGTTGTTTTTTGTCGAACTCATTCGAGTTAATTTTAAAAATTGGGTCACAAACCGAGCTCGGAAAAATTCTGTCGATTCGTTTTCCTGGGCGTTTCAAAATCCGAATTTAATGTGGCGCATGAATTCCGAGATTTCGCAGAAATCGAGGAACCGCGATTCCCACTGTTTATTTATAATGTGAAACCTACCTCGCATTCATTATTCTTGTATCTGCATATATAAGGTACGCAGCTCTCCCTTCTCTCTAGATTCACTTTTCTCTCTAGTTTTTTTTTTATTTGTAGATCTTCTTAGTTCTCTCTGATTTCTCCGCTGTGCTCTTCAAACTTTCTGACCATATTCAAATTTTCCGACCAATCTTCAAACTTTGCTGCTTCATATTCAAATTTCCCGATCAGTCTTCATCATGTTCTTCGTTTTCTTCAAATTTCTCTCTAAATCTTTTTCCTCCGACTTCTTTTTACCGACCTAAATTGTCTTCTGATTCTTCAATCAATTCATCCTCCAACCAAATCCTTCTGGAGGATCGTCGTGACCTTTCCGAGCCGAGCTCCTCGTCCCAGAGTCCTTCTAGGTCGGCGAATAGTCCCCCGACCTTAATTCGCAAGAATTCTAGGTCAATAAGTGCTAGTAGCAGCCGACCTCAACCAAAGGTTGAGTCGCCCGAACGGCTAGTAAATGAGACCTGAGAAACAAGGGCCCAGGCTGCTCCAGATGCTGATGATGGTGACGACGAGATCGAAGAGATCAACGAGCTCAAAGTAGGAGATATTGAGGAGGACAATAATGCCAAGGTCAATAATGCCGAGGTCAACACTGAAGCGGTGAACGTTGGTTTGGTTCCAATGCCGAAACGGAAGGACTTCTGTCCTCGCGACTTAAAGCGTGTGGAATTATAGAAGGAGCCGATTTCTGACGACGATTCGCTCCGCACTTGAAGCGTGTGGAATTATAGAAGGAGCCGATTTCATCGTTCATGATGCCGGAGATCACCCGTGGGATGTATCCAAGGACTTACTTTGCGTCTATCTAACCTACTTCACTCAGTGTAGGCTCACGTTTCCAATTCCTTCCCACCTGCTCGGCTACTGCAATCGCCAAGGTGTAGCTCTATCGCAGATGATGCCTGCCTCAGTGACAAACTACACGGGCTTTCGAATCCTGTGCGCCGAGATCAATGAAGACCCAACCAACCGACTCTTTGAGGACCTCTTCTTGGTCAACCTGCATGCGTCGAAGGATTGGTTCTTCACAGCAAACGCCAAGCCACGAAGGGATATCGTCACCGGGGTTAAGCCCAATAAATATAATGACTGGGAATCACACTACTTCTTCTTCAAGATTAACTAGCTCACAGTCAGTGAGACTGATATTTCAACTCAGTTGGAGTAGAAGATTCCGATCAGTAGCTTTAGACGATCTCATTTTTCTTTCGATTGCTTTTTACTTGTCTTCTTAACTTGTTTTGTTTAGCTGTGCAGGTCGCCATCTTCCGAGTATTCTTCTTCATTCCGGCCTCATAACTGAATTCCAAACAGCCTTCAGTGAAGCCGGTAAGCACCGCTGGCCCAAATCTTGGGATGAGATACTTTGACGTCGAGTTAAAAAATCTGATAAATTTTACTTAGCTATTTTTCTTTATATATTGAATTTATCTAAGCTCATCCTCACATTTTCCAGGCTTTTGTTTCAGTTAAGGAACCAAAGCCTCTCAAACCGAAGAGCCGATCTAAGAAGCCTCGCTCTCCTCCAAGACGACCAGCTCTGAAGCCGCGAACCAGACGAATCCAAACTTCAAACATGCTTTCACTCACCGAGATCCCAAGTCTGTTTGATGAGGATGAGCCGAATGACGCGGTTCAAGATCCCGCTCTAACTACCGAGGAAGCTGAACGAAATGCCGACAAGGTCCCTCCGGACCTGAACTCATCTGACCAGGCTGGTCAGAAGAAATCGAAGAAGAAGTAGTCTTCTAAGAAATCCAAGAGGGCAGAAGGCGTTCCTCAGCTTCAGAATGCTGATGCCGAACTCAACTCTATGGGTCCCACGGCTTCAGAATGCTGACGCCGAACTCAACCTTGTGGGTCCCATGGCCTCCGAGCCCTCAAATGCTCGAAAAAGGCAAGATCGGGACCCAAGCTATGGGTCTCCTCAATCTGAGCCGGTAAAGATATCAAAAGTCCGGTTCGACTACAACGTAGAGGTCCCTCTAGAGGACAACATCGAGACCAGCGCCGATCTTTACCACAAGACCTTTAAGAAGGTGCCTAGTCCGCCAAAGGTCTTCGGGCTGCGTTTCCCCAACTTGTACAAGGGAATTGCCCACACGATCGCCGTGGTAAGTTTTAAATTTGGTTCACTCTTCTCCTATTTTATTTCTAAGTATTTTTCCTGACTTCTTCCCTTTATGCTCGTAGCTCCCTAGCCAAATCAACACTCTGGTTGCAGGGTACGAACTTGCCCTGTATGAGGAGAAAGTGAGGGTTCAAGAGTTGGAGGACCGGATCTCCAAGGTCGAACAGCGGCTAGCTACCGAGCTCCAGATAAATGACGAATTGAACAACGATGTCGACCTGCAGAAGGAGGAAAGCTCTAAGCTAAAGGCCGCAAAGGCCGAGCTGACGGTGGCGCAGAACCTCTTATCCCGGGAGTTCACTCAGGATAAGGAACGGTTGCAAGGCATGGTGGCTCGTGAAAGGGATCGGGCGAGAAGGTTCACGCTAAGGCGTGCGAGCGCTTAGAGAAGGTCATTTGGAGTCAGGATGATGCTGATCGAGCCCGCAAGCCCTACCTCGTGGTAGCTCTCCGGTGTTCTCAGCTTCATAAAGAACTTAAAGAAGAAAGGTCTGTTCGAGGTGCCTCCCGATATGGTAGCGGATCTGGAGTCGAAGTATGCAATGGCGCTGCGAGAGTATGAGTCTGTTGAAGCCTATGTCCTCACCGAAGAGGATAAGCGTATGTCGCCGTTTACTGAGACCGAGGAAGATGTTGCTGCTGACGATGCAATGCATGGAGGCCAGAAACAAACAGGGATCGAGCAATTCACTTCGAATGAAGACATGATCAATGCCGAACAGCCCGCTGCCTCGAAGACTGCTTAATCGACTTCCTTTAATGGGTTTTATCATGCTTTATACATCTTTTTAACCCTCGGTGGGTTTTTTATGCTTTGGATATTTTGCCCTCGGTGGGCTTTAATCTTTTTAAGTCAGTATTGTTTTTATTGAAAAATATGCCAAGTAGTAAACGGCTTTAGATAAAAATTCTAGCTCGGGCCGAATTTATCTATCTTTATAGTGAATTATGTTAACTCGGCTTACGCTTGCAAGTGTTGAAGACTCGGCTTACAATGCGAATCTGAGGAGTTCGACTTTTAGTGTGAGCGTTGGGAGCTGGGCCTGGGGGACCCAAGTGAGTCATACCAAACTGGAAGAGCGAGTGATCGAACCCTTATAAACGCATGATACGAACTCAAAGTGTTCTAAGTCAAAC